CTATATACAAAATCAACTTAAATTGATAAATGTAATATATATATATATATATATATATATATATATATATATATATATATATATATATATATATATATATATATATATATATATATATATATATATATATATATATATACAATTTTTTTTATCAACATCTTCACTCCAACAAGGCTGAAAACAACCACTATTAGAGTTGGAAGTGACTGAAAAAGAAAAGAAAAAGTTTGTAGAGCAAGATAACTATTAACAGACTATTTAAAAGATTGTAAATTATATAAATAAGGAAAACAGGATAAATGTAGCGAGTTTCAAGGAATTGATGTTCAAGCAAAAAAAACTAGACAAATAAGATATTTTGGAGCATTTAGGAACAGTAACAGTAAAATAATAAGACTTTGAATGACGAGTAACATCAGAATAAATTTTAACAAATAGCACAAGAGATACTAACTCTTCAAAGCAGTGCCCATTATAGTATTTTTAAAAATAGAAAGAAAACCAAATTACAACAATGTGATAATGGTTAGAGGTTGGCTGCAAGAGCAGGTCCAACTTTGTTTACAATTCACTTTGCACCTTATCTAAAAGAGAAAAAGCATCAATAGAAGATCTGCCCCAGATATGGCAACAGTATTCCATACAAGGCCGGATTTGAGATTTATAGAGATAGAGAATAGAATCTAGAGTTAGAAAATGTCAAGCTCAATAAAGAGATGCAACTTTAGCAGATGCTAATTTTGCAATAGATTTGACATATAGTTTCCATGAAAGATGATAAGAGTTAATTCTAGAAGATGAAGGGTAGATGACTCATCAAGTACATTACCATTCATAAATATAGGAAGGTCTAAATTATCGCGATAACGATGGGCTGAAAAAAATTAAATTTTATCTAATTTAAAAAATTTTATTTATTTATTAAAAAATTTAATTTTTAAATAAAAAAATAAAATTTAAATATTAAAAATAATATTTTTTAAAAAAATTAAATTTTATATAATTTACCAGCCATTGAGACCCCCATGCTGTAACATAAGAGAGATCCTTTTCAAGCTTAAATGCCCCCTGCAAGCAACCAGAGAAAGTTGGCTTCTTATCAAGGCAAGAATAAATAACAGTATTGTCAGCGTAAATTAAAAACAGTATAGGGCCAAGGTTAGAACCTTGAGGAATACCTGAAGTTACAGGATATGAAGAAGAATGCTGCCCATGGAGGACAACTTTTATACTATGATTGGAAAGGAAGAATTCAATAATCTTAAAGATGTTTCCAGATACATTGTAAGAAGAAAGCTAATGAAGAAGACCAGCATGCCAAACTTTATCAAAAGGTTTAGAAATGTTGAGAGCAATAACCTTAATCTCTCCACATATATCTAATGCACGATAAAACCAATCGGTTATTACTGTTATTAAAAGTAAGACAGCAGTAAAACAAGAAGACCAAATTCCATATTGATGATCAGAATGTAAGTTATTAGATTCAAGATGAGAGATTAAGTGTTTGTTAATTAAAGACTCAAAAACCTTACTTATGATAGGAAGAAGACTAACAGGGTGGTAGTTAGATGAGCCAGATTGCTCTCCAGAATTTTTGAAAATAGGGATAATAGATGTTGCTTTATACAATAATATAATACAATACAATAGATGCTTTATATAATAATATATACAAATGAGTGTGTGCGTGCATATGTGTTTGCATGTGTGCATTTTTAAAAGTGTAAAATTAGAAAAACTACTACATAAAATACTAATAAATTATTTTTTTCAAACAACAATTTTAATATTTCTATTTACTCTTAAGTCCCTAATACAAGGAGGGGGAATGTTTATTAATTTTTGAAAAATTTTCTCCCCACCCCAAGTTTATTTAAGCCTCTCCCCCCCCCCCCATGCCCCGTTCATTAATTTTTACTTGCTATCTAAAATAAAAAAGGTAAAAATCGGCCTTTAAAATTAAAAAATATTTATTACAGTCACGAATAAAAATAAAAAATTTCAGTGTAAACAGGCTTTAAAAATCACCAACCAAGTAAATCCCAACTTATCGAAAATGAGCATTTTATTTCTCACCATAGTATAAAACTTATTAAATCCTATTGAAATTACTATAAAACAGCTGTTAAAAAATACTCATTTGACCGCAAGCCACGTTAAATTTAAATAGTTTTTATGCGTGTTTTGTAAAAAATATTAGTTTGGTTTTATAAACTGAATTTTTTAATAAAAAATACTTACTTATTGTATCATAAAAAAATTCCCACCACCCCTTTTATTAAACTCCCTCTCACCTTACACCCCCCCCCTCTCTTTCCTTCGTTTATTAAATCTGGATTAAAATTCCCACTCCTCCCCCCTCATTTTCGAGAGTAATAAGATAAAATATTTTAGGAAATTGATTTATATTTATATTTTTAGTGTTTTAAATCATTCTCAATTCTGAGAAGAATTCTCTGAAAGATGAAAATCATAAATGGAAGTATAAAGGATTTGCTGCCTCAAGCAAAACGTTTTTATTATTATACCATTCCATAGCAAGTTTTTTTAGCAAATTTATATTTTTTGTATTTAAATTATCGAACTTTTCTCTTTTTTGGCAATGTAATATTCAGCACCAGGACTTTGCTGATCATATTTGATATAAGTTTCATTATCTTTAATAATACATAAGGTTTTTAGAAAATTGGCATACAACTTACTGCAGAAAGTTGTTTCTATTTTTTCTTAGTTTTAGAAGGGTTTGGAACCTTTCGCAATTTTTATAAATAAAGACCATAATTATTTGAAACTTTTTTAACAAAACTATGAGAAAATTTTATATTTCTCATAGTTTTGTAAAAAATATTCAACATTTTTCAACAGAATTCTAGTGAGAAGTTTAGGTTAACTCTAAAATTATTAACCAGTTTTCTAACTAGTTTTGTGTCTGATGATGGAAACCTTTTTTCCATCATCAGATACAAATTTTTTCTTCTTTTTTCTTTCTTCGCTCATAAATGCACTACTACATATTACCAGGATCCAGGAAGCTCTTATTCCTTCTCAACAGTTCCAAGACAAGCCTTATTCTACTCTACGTTTTCACTTTCTTGTGCAGCTGCTATATTTATTTGTAATCATCTTTTTCAAAAGAACAACATTCTTGTGAAAAACTCCTTTTTTTAATAAGCCATTTCTTATTAAAATCATTTACGGTTTGTAATCCAGAAAACATTTTATTGATTACAAAAGTATTTTCTAAAACTCTTTTCAACTATATTTAAACTATTTAATGTGTTTGACTAAATCTTATTTTCCTCGTTTCTGGAAAATAGTATCTGTGGTTCCAATTTTTTTCAAACTCTAGTGAACATTCTAATCTCTCTAACTATTAATATGTTAGAGAGGTCAGAATGCTTGGAATGCTAGGAATGCTCAATCTTCCATCAATTATTAGCAAAGTCTTTGAGTCTTTGATCGACAAATTTTTAACATTCCATCTTGAGTCGAATAACATACTCTCTGACAATCAGTATGGTTTTTGATCTTTTTGTTTTAAAGCTGACTTGTTAACTACTGTTACTGAAAGATTTCATTGTACATTAGATGGAGGTAAATGGTTATTGCTTTTAATATATTTCCAATTACATCCTTTTACTGCATCTGTTTCTGCATGCTTTAAAAACATTTTTGTTTTTCGTCGGGTTTTTTTTTTTGTTGCGCTTCAATCCTGTGGAACTCTCTCCCACCTTCATGTTTTCCTGACACATAAAACCTACAACTTTTCAAGTCGTTTGTCAACTTTTTCCTTGCTTTTCAACACTATTCTTTGTTTTCTAGTAACTCCTAACTTAATAGTGGTTGCTTGCTGCGTTGTTGAGAGTAAATTTGATTTAAAAAAAAAGAAGAGAAAAGTGTTAGAGAACATGACTAACGGTTGCAAGAGATGTGCTTGCAACTCTTTTGTCATTAATTGTAACTTTCATTAGGATTTTCTAAATATTCGTGCACAACTTGTACTTCGTGTATAATTATAACCCAGTACCACCTGCTCCATGCCCTGCTACCTTGTAGTATTTGCTTTTTTAGGTAAAGGCTACGAGAAACAAACTCCGACTTGAAAATTTTTGGTGTGCTTTGTCAAGGCCACATAAGTATCCCAACGTTACAACTTTGGGTTAGTTAACGGGATTGAGACAACTGCATTTAGCCCATCCCATTTTGACACTAATAACAAATTTTAATACAGCGGAGCGTTACTAAATGTTCCCAAGGTATTGTTTTCTTTAGGAATTTTTTTATTTTTTATTTTGGATTACTATTTATACTCGCGTCACTCTTTTAAAGTTTAACTTTTTAAATTTTTTTATATTTGTTAACTGGTGTCACTTTTAAAACGCACGAATTTGTTATGAAATTTAAAAAAAGTGATTTTGAAACAAAATGGCATGAAGGCCATATACACAACAATTTAAAATTTGTTAGACTCTTTTGATCTCAGACAGCTCACCCACTTCAAGCACTGGCTATTTAAAAGGGATTTATTTAAGGCATGCTAATTTTCATGGCCACCCATTTTTCTTGCTAACCTCCCGCCTTCATGTCGGAGAGCTTCGTGTAACCGTTGCCGTAAGTAAAACTGTTTAGACGGAGAGTAAAATATTTAAATCTCTGAATTAGAACTGGGATGTTGTTGATACAAACAATGAGACGGTGCTGTTGCAATTTAATCACCAGAATGTTAAGGGCACCTGGTTGGAGAAACAGGCTCTATTGGTGCCCAAAACTTGTAGGAACCTGATAGTCCATAAATAGTAAGGAAATAGTAAGGTAACGATAAAATTATATTACTTTAAAATATCTTTATGCAAAAACAAAACATATCTAAGACATTTCTAACATTTCTAAAAACGTTTCTTGTTAAATTTTAAAGTTATTTACAATTAGATTTTTAAGAATTGCAAAGATTATTGTGAACATGCGGAAAAAAATGAGTTCGTTAGCTAAAAATTTAC